GATCAAGCAATTCCTGCGGCAGGGGAGGGGGGGGCGGGAAGGATGCCGAGAGGATCCAGCAGCGGCGAAAGGCGGCGAACAAGGCGGCGGTGGGGAACCACAACCGCAAGAACGCCGCCAGGAAGAAGGAGGCCAAGGGCATGTTCTGAGGGAGGGAAAGGCAGGCTGGCACGCCTTGGTGGCACCAAGGGATGCTACGAGCATGTTCGGAGGGAAGGCTGGCACACCTTGCGATTTAATATCGGCAGCGGAGCAATGTAGCCCGTTCGTTCGTCACCACCACCGACGGCCGTTGGTCACTGCTAATACATTTACAGTGCTGCAACGGATGTCGCACGCTTGTGTGTTGTAGTAGCAGGCAGCAGCCGTCGCGTTGCGGTTGGTTGACGAGCGGTTTACTGAGCAGCGGATCGTGCTCGGGCTTGTCGTAGTAAACTAGGTAGAATAAGCGTTTTCGACAGGTTGGAGTGCATACCTAGAGGCTGTTTTCTGTAGCATCGATGGTGTTCCAAGCGCAAAGCCTGCTTACGTAACTTGGCTCAGACGTGATTCGGGAACCGAGACTACCCTCGCTCCCGGATTTCACGCTACACGGCAATCGCAGCAGCACCACTCTCTTGTGTGTGCACGCGCACATTTTTGTTGTCAGGAAGCACATGAGTCCGTGTTCGTACGGACCCTTGCAAACACAACCATTCGTCGGCACGCATGTACATGCGTTGGGGCCTTGCTGTCAAAAGTCCATCGAATCTGTGCGCAGAGCGACCTTGTACCCAACAAACTTGTCGGCTTCTATTTAGATACGCGGTCCGTCCGAACACTTCGGTCACAAGCTCCCAGCGGGTCCCTGTCAGCAAAACCCACACTAAATCCGTTCGAACAACGCCAACCGGGGAAGTCAACAGACAGCCGTTTGCCTGTTGGAAATCCACGCGCACGTCTCAAAGTCACAGCAGGCAGGAGAAAAAATAGCGAGAAAGGCTGTGTTGTGTGCTGTCGCCGTTCATACGCACACAAGCACACCCGCCCAGCGTAGGTGAAAAAAATGCAGAGGCTCCCATTCCGCGGGGGGGCGGGTGTGAATTAACCCAAGCTCCACAATGCCGTACCAGGCAGGTGACACAAGATACCACACACCCCGGACCGACATTGAAGGTTCGTCTACTCGCACGACGAATGAATCGAACCGATGTGTTTTCGGATACAGTGCCATTGGTCCTGGAGCCCGATTCAGTTGGTCCTCTGTAACTTTTGATTGCGGGCGACAACAAAAAAACTAAAGGTAACTTGGGAACGCCCGCGGCAAGGTGCTTAAGACTAGCAAGACGAAAAAAAAAAGGGGGGGGGGAAAGTGGTCGGGGGCCGGCCTCGAACCCCGGACGTTGACACTTCAAGGGTGGCCTTCTCAATACATTTTCCGATTTTTTTTTTCTTCAAATCCTCATTTTTTTACGCCCGTATGACTAAAAACTACCGGAAAGCTGCTCTTACCAAGCCCCCCCGCCACTATATGACCTATGGCACCTTCTTCACCTTGCAACAAAACGAAACAACCGAGAACACCCCAAAATATTACGATAAAATGCTAAAAAAAACAGGTAAAAGGAGGATAAAAACACGCCAAAAAAACGCAAAAAACAGACAAAAAGTAAGGGTATGTAAAGGTTTAACTTAACGAAAATTTAGGGGGCATTCGCAGCCTTGGGCTTGTACTCAGATGGTGCTGGGCGCCTGTGCGATTTGTACGTTTTGTAGTGTTTCTCTCCCCCAGGCCCTACAGCACGCGTATCACGGTACACCAAACTATGTGTGTACGACTCCTTGCAGTGTACGCGTGCACCGTTCCCACGGCTTGCCTATCATTGTCACTTGTACACAATCTATACCAGACTATCCGTGGAAGGTATGGATGTGTGTAGCTCTCGGAAGGGACGATTCCGAAGCAGCTCTTCGCGGCGCACCGGCGAATATTTCCGCCTTTGAGAAATCGGTGCTTTGGTTTGAAAATCGAGCCAAGGGGCATGCTATCTAATGTTCACCTTACGGTGGATAGGGCGTATGCCGCTCACAAGAGTGGAGCCGAGAAGGAAAGCATGACACCACCGTTCGGGCAGGACCATGCGGTCCACAGCCGATGTGGGATGCACCCTCCTTGCCCTTACCCCCTACACGGGGCCCCTTTCTTCGCCCCAAGAACAAGACGACACTGACAACAGTCACAGTAGCCACAATAGTCCCGGCGAGGGATGAACGTTCCTCGCCGAGACCTTGTGCACGAGGTCACTTGTCTCCATCTCAGAACAGCTGAGCTGCGCGCTGCTCTAACGGTCATAACAGGCCGTATGCATCCGAGAGATCTGCCGGACCAAACAAAAAAAAAAAGTTGTTGTCGCTCTCCGCATAGATATCTGGATTCATAATTAGGACAAGTTGGCCGCCTCTATCGTACGGCAACGTACCTCCCATGGAGCGCACAACAAAATACGCCGAATGCTGCTCCGGAACAACAGTGGTCTCTTTGCGGGGAACTTACTCTGTTCTCCGCCTCTATCCTTAACCCTCCAGCCCACCCCTTGTTCTCGCCCTCCTTCCTGCACGCCAACATACACCCTCCTGACCGGACACACACCAACACCTTCCAACCGATGACGACGCGCCGCCCACAACCCATCCCATGAGGGTGCGCGCCATCGTGATCGCACCATCTTCCTGTCGCCGGGCGACGTCCCCCTCTCTTCCTTGTCTCTCGCCGCTTGCCTAACGCCGCTTCCGTGTGTACGGGCATCTACACAATTTATTTCATGCGATAGGGCACACGCAGACAACAAGAGGGCCCTGGGGAGGGGGGGGTCTCGTCAAAGAGACCCATCTTCAACAGCGATACCCCGCTCCCCAACCATCAACAAGCCATTCGCACTGAAGTTTTTCTCCTCCAGACAACACCGGTATGAAATGAAGTGATGGCCGATCAAAGAAAAAGAACGTTGCCATATTTTTTTCTCTACATCCCTTTCTCTTTGTGGACCGCACGAGCTTCTTCGCATCTCTTCTCCTCTTCTCCCCGTTCCCTTAGGCAAAAAACGTACCCCTTCTTTCACAAAAATGCACCCCTGTGTTAGCGAAAAACGCACCCCTCCACTCTTCCTTTCAGCGGAATATATTCCCGTGGTTTCAGCAAAAATGCCCCCCCCCGGGGGGTGGCAGTACTAGGTAGCACCACCAAAGAGCGGAGGACGAACACCTACCTCCTCCAGAAAAAAACACAACTTCGGTGGAACGATCGTCCTTTCCAGCCGACCAAAAAACACCAGCCTTCCACTGGACTGGAAGGATGGAAGGACGTTCCTTCTATGGCGGTCTTCCTCAATCTCTCTCTCTCTGTCTCTCTTGCTCTGCGTGTCTCTCTCTTACAGCACTCCTCTTCCCGCCGTTCTTGTCCGTGATACAGAAAAAATGCACAAAACCCCTTTCTCTGGCTTGATCCGCGAACCCTCTCTCCATCCACTTTTCACAAAATCCTTTGATAACTTGATCCGCGGACATTGTCTCCCTCCATCTTCACAATTCCTCTTTCCACCTCGCACGCCTCTCTCTCTCTCTCTCTCTCTCTCTCTCTCTCTCTCTCTCTCTCTCTCTCTCTCTCTACATCCCAACCTCTTGGGTAGAAATCATCAACATCTGGGTACCATCCAACAAATCATCGTTGCATCAGCGTTCTCGCATCGGTGCCACTTTTCCCGCCAAGCAAGCAAACACACTACTATTCATCGCCTGTGTCGAGTACATCGTGGGCATAGAGGGCTGAACAACAAAAGGGGGCGCACACGACAGCAATCGCGGCAGCAGCGTCTAGCAGTCGAAGCAGCAGCAGCAGCAGCAGCAGCAGCAGCGGCCATCACCATTAACAACCATCCATCCAGAAATACCGTACAGGGTGGCACCCCCCTCCCCACTCCCCCCGTTGCTCGTCGCGTGGCGGCGGGTGACCCTGCGGTGATCATCCTACAGGGCAATCACGGAGAACGAACGCGCCTGCGTACACCGCCGCCGGCTTACACCGTCGGGAAATCTACCGTCAATTTCGGGAATACGCCATTGGCCTCCAAACGTCGCCCGGAAAATCACGCCTACCACGACGCCAATTGCTGTTCAAAAGTCTCCACAGCCCGCCCGCTGCCCCCCCCCAATTCCACCGCAATTTCTTTGTCGACGGCTACAAACTGCTTCACGACAGAACCCGCCCCCCCCGCCAATTCCACCGCATATTTTCAGTCGACGGTTTCAAACTGCTGCTACCACAAGCCAGTAGTCTCGTCTGATACTCTATTTGTTGATCTTCTCCTCGATGGCCTTCCACAGGACGGAGAACATGAGCCCCTGCATGCCGTTGGCCATGATCTTGGTCTTGAGGCCGCGCCCGAACAGCCCGACGAGGCCGTCCTTGGCGATCACGTCGCGAACGGCCTGGACGTACGTCACTCCCTCCGTGTGAGACTTTCGTTGTCGTCGTCGTCATCATCGTCATTTGGCGTTGTTGTTGTTGTTGATGGTTGTTGTTGTTGTTGACATCGGCATTGTTGTTGTTGTTGATATCGGCATTGTTGTTGATGTCGGCGTTGTTGTTGTCGGTGATATCGGCATTGTTGTCGTTGATGTCGGAGTTGTTGTTGTTGTTGTTGTTGTCGTTTTCGCCGTTGTCGCAGCCGTCGTGTCGCAGTCATCGTCATCGTCAATGCCGCCGTTGTGATCGTTGTCGTCGTCGTCATCGTCATCGCCATCGCCGGCGTTTATGATGGGGATGGCGTTTTCGGGTGCCGTGGTTGTTGGGTGCAGGGCAAGTTCGCCGGGGAGATGGGGAGGGAAGAGAAGGAGTGAAGGAGGAGGGTGAGCGCAAGAAAGCGGTGGTCCCAGGCACGCGTACACGAACAGCTCGACAGCGTCGATTCTTGTCCCGCTTCGTCAACGCTACATAACCACCAACCGGGGACAGAAAACGCCCCAATTTGTTTTACTCGAAACCCTCTAGAAACCAAAGCTCCCTGAATTATTGACAAAGCCGGTCCGGTCCCGGCAGAACCGGAGGGGGGGCGGCGGCGGCGGGCCTGCTGCAAGACGGTAGCGTGCCTACAGAACCCACTAGAGCGGGTCAGCCAACTGGCCGGTCAGCCCTAAAGCTGGTACCAAAGTCCAACGCTACGACAACCAGTTTAGGCGGCCATATATAGACCGCTCTTCATGAAGCTGATGGCCCCCAAAAAATGAGAATAACAAAACTCACGTGCATATTACGCACGGACGGGTGGGATTTACTATAATACCACGTTCACGACAGCCGACCGGCTTTGATGTGCTCTCCATTACGTACCTGCTTGTAGACCTTGACGACGCGGATTGAGTTGGAGCACGTGTCGGACACCACCGAGGAGCAGAAGCCAATGATGCCGTTCCGAGCGAGCTTCTTGATGCCCGAGTCCTGCTTTGGAATGCGCTCCTGGAGGTAATTGTACGTGAAGAACCTGGCAGCCGACGTCCATCCCCATTTTTTTTGGTGATTTTATTGTTTTTTCCGCCCCCACCCCCAGAAAAAAAAAAAAAACAGCGGCGAGACGAAGAAAACGGTTGCTATTCAAGTCCATTCGTGTAACCGGGCGGGTAGGTGGGATCTCTGAACTCAGAGCCCAATGATCCGTGCTACAACAATATGCAGCCGGTCTCTCTCCACTCACTGTAAAGAATTGAGCACATCCCTTTCGGCTGCAGGGGTTACATTTCTGTGAGTTTTATGTAGATTTTCTGAAAATATGTAAGGCCGAGGACAATCTCGCGGCGCCATGATGCGATGATATGCCCTCGACCTTCGGTCCGGTCGGACACGTGAAGCACACCGCAAAACTGGATCAAGGACCAGATCAGGGGGAGGGGGTGTCGTATACCGTATAGATAGATGTATGTAGGTTATAGAGTCGTATTAGTGCTTGCAACATATTTCATGTTGAATGCATAAGAGTTGAAAATGGCTACAACTACAAACCTACACACCTCTTACTATATGACATTGATTAGACTGGGTTTATTGTGCGGTGTAGCAAAGCCTGCTATAACCAACCCTATTCCCCTACCCAACAATAGAATGTACCCAACACACCAATGAGTGTCTTGATGTCGGTTGGCATTGGCATAGCCGCCAGTGCAGCGACTTTGTTGGCGTTGGGCCTGATGCCGTCGGGAGTAATGGTGTGTCCCAAGAATGCAAGAATGTCTCGTGCCGATGGTGGCCTTGGGTGGTGAGAGCATGAGCTTGTGCTTGCGCGGCCGTTGCCAGAAGGCGCGTAAGGTGCGGGCGTTATCCGTCAGTGTCTTGTCGTAGAGCACAACGTCATCTTGGATACACACGTGGGCCAAAGCTCTTGGATGCGCACGTGAGCCAAAGCTGACAAGGCGTTTGCGACGGAACGGTGCCTGTGGTGGACGTGCCATGCTGTCGGTTGGAGTCCACACAATCCTACGCAGACTCAGAGGACCATGACGCGTGCA